GCAAAAAAAGAATAAATCGAAATAAAATAAAACAATTTAATACATATATTTAAAATAAATACTAATTATATAGATAAAAAATATAAATCAAGATAATTGAGCGTACGGTTCAGAAAAATAAAAAAGTCGGCTAGATTGGTGTGTCCGAAGAACAGGCAGATCCATGGTGATGTAGTTGTTTTATTTTTCATTCCTAACATGGCAGCTACTGGATCACGTCCTTTTTAATCCCGCTCTCTGGATATATACGCCAGCGCCAGTACAAACACGGCTTTATTCATACCTGGCCACAGAATTTCTTAGTGACACGCAAATTTATTCCAATGTTAGACGCGTATCGACAGTTTTGCAAACGGTACACACACTCAAGTATTATTACTGGGTAGCTAATCCTCGAGCCAAAAGTGGAATAACGCCGAAGGGACTCGGTACGTTGTTATATCTAATCAGTCTAATATTAACAATGCAAATTTATTCCGAATGCATAAAATATGTTTTATGCACAAATTCATTTTTCATAGATGGACCGCGTCCGCAACAGAAGGACATTCTTACAATTCGTTCTTATATCTTATTATTTTTGAAACAATTAATAATGATTGGTAACGGTGTAAAAGACGATGAATTACAGAGTATACTTAATTATCTAACGACGATGCATGAGGTAATTTTAAATATGGATATAATAATGCAAAATAATAAAGTGTCAAGGATATTTTTTCGAATGCTGTGACGATTTTTAGGATGAAAATTTGCACGATGTTTTACAAATGCTGATATCCTTGATGTCGGAACATCCGTCATCGATGGTACCCGCATTTGATGCGAAACAAGGAGTACGAACCATTTTCAAGCTTTTGGCAGCCGAAAGCCAGCTGATACGTTTGCAAGCGTTAAAACTATTAGGGTTCTTCCTTAGCCGCAGTACACATAAGTAAGTAATACTTCACGCAGATTTATGTATATAATATAATTTATGTGATTAAAATATCTTTAAAAACATATTAATTATTTTTATATATACAGACGAAAATACGATGTCATGAGTCCTCATAATTTGTACACATTATTGGCTGAAAGGCTCTTATTAAACGAGGAAACTCTCTCATTACCGACATACAATGTTTTATACGAGGTATGGAATTTTTATTTATAAAATAATGCTTCTTTATTAAATTTTTATTTCAAATTTAATTGTAGATTATGACCGAGCACATCAGTCAACAAATATTGTATGCTAGACATCCTGAACCTGAATCTCACTACCGTTTGGAAAATCCGAGTAAGTTGAGAATTAATTTACAGTTACAAATAAAGCGAATACTTTTCACAGATTAATCTATCAATATCCGTTTCAGTGATTCTGAAGGTAGTCGCAACATTAATTCGACAATCAAAACAAACGGAGCAGCTGCTGGAAGTGAAAAAGCTGTTTCTTTCGGACATGACGCTGCTCTGCAACAATAATCGGGAAAATCGGCGAACGGTTTTGCAAATGTCCGTTTGGCAGGAATGGCTTATCGCCATGGCTTACATTCATCCGAAGAATACGGAAGAGCAGAAAATATCCGACATGGTGTATTCCTTATTTCGCATGCTTCTTCATCATGCTATCAAACACGAATACGGTGGCTGGCGTGTATGGGTTGACACGTTGGCTATCGTACACTCTAAAGTAAGTCTATGAAATATTGTCGATTAAAAACGCTTCTAACGCTTTCAATAATGTATACAGGTATCGTACGAGGAATTCAAACTTCAGTTTGCTCAAATGTATGAGCATTATGAACGACAGAGATCCGACAACATTACGGACCCTGAGTTAAGACAGCAAAGGCCAATCAGCACGATTTCTGGATGGGATCAACAGCATTCCGGAAGCAACGGATACAATAGACCAACAACGTGGGGAAATCAGCAAAATCATGAGATACAACATATGGAAAGAAATTACAAGGTAATTTGGAAAGTGATACTTTTATTTTATTTTGATTTGTTTTGGTTATCTATATATATTTTTATAATCTTTATTTATGATCGCTTTATCTTAATATTCTTTGTCGATATAAAATTATTCAATTGTGCAAAAATTTAAAGGCGTATTTGGCTATATTTATTGTCTTTAATAATATCTTGTATTATGATGCAGGAGTTTGATTCATCCGAGGCAAATGATCGATTGGAAGAATCATGCAGTTGCGACCTTAATTCAATAGATAATACCGAAAGCGATGGGAGTCCGGCCATCATAAAATCACGCAGCGAGACTTTAGATACATTACAATCGTGCGAGGTGGTATCGCTGGATTCCAGATTGAGCGACAAACCGGAAACACCTACCACTGCACGGGAGGCTCATACAGAGACGCCGACGATTCTCGAAGAAGCGAACAGCGAAGCTATCTCGTTGCCGACTACGCAAGAAACCAGCGAAGTGATATCGATTGAGAGCTCCAGTGACTTTTACAGCGAGGTACACAAAATCGAGAGTTCCAGTCCTGATTCGATGATAGTTCAGGACACATTGAAAAGAGAAGAAGAAAATACACCGAAAAAAGAAGAAGAACTCACAGTTCTCGAGAAGCAATCAGTTATTGTTACCGAATCCTCCTCGACCGAACAGATTAAAGAAAGTACAGAAGCGACAATTGTAGAATCAAAAGAGCCAAAAGAAACTGCGAAAGATACAAACATCTCTGACACAGTTTCTGCAGCAGTGGATAAAGTTGAAGATCCGTCAGGTACAGACGAGAAAATAAAGGATAAGCCTGTTGAGGAAAATAATGTCGCGACCGATGACAGTAATACGCCGACCAATAATGAAGATTCCGACAAGACTGCAACAGCGGTTGAAAGTACAGACGACTCTGTTGCTACAAAGGCCGACATCGATGCCGACACTGAAGAAGATACCGTGCCAATTGTCCCTTCTGACGAAACGCGAGAAGCGTTGACGATTAAAGTTATCGAAAAGCTTCAATTGGAGAACGATCGCGAGATAGTTGACAGTGATACGTCAGAGGCATATTTGACGCCAACTGAGAATCAAGAGATCTCGAGCGAGATAAAAAGCAGAACGTCCGAAGGTGAGAAAATTGTCAACGACGACACCGTCGAGAAGAAGGACATTTCTGAAGACAGGGACACTACTATTGAGACTGGTGAGAACGACGCAGGGGAAATTGTAAAAAATCCTAATTGCTCAACTAGCATAGTAGAAAGCGGTGAGGCTTGCGCGGAGAAGGCGGTAGATCTAGAAAGCGAGAAGGTGGAACCCGTAATAGTGAATAGTGCGTTAAGTAGTGACGAACGCGCTACGGATTCTTTAACGGAGGACAAAAGTGCTGTTATTAATGATAACGAAGACGCGAAGGTAAATGAGAAACACTCAAGGGAGCCGTCCACTATTTCTACTAGCGTAAGTGATAATAAGTCAGACGTTCCGGCGACGACTGGCGAGGTAGAAATTACAGATAGTGTTTGTAGTAATAGCGATGTTCAAAGTTCTGTAGATAATGTGACGCAAGTGCCAAATCCTAAGCAGCAAATCCCAACAATATCTACGGTCTGTGATGCAACTAAAAGTTTATCCGACGGTGTGCCTCAAATCGTTAGTTCTAATGTGGTTGCCAGGGACAATGCGTTATTGAATGACTTAACTCCAGATCACGTAGACGCCCACCGCAGATCCAGCCTGCCGATCGTGTCCTCGGAAACGGTCGCGGACGATAACGGTCACGAGCCACCCTCCTTGCCCGTGCCCTTACGAAAAACATCGTCACCCCAGAAACGACCAAGGAGTGCCTCTACGTCCACGCAGGTGGATCCTCATCATTTCGGTGAGTAATCGAAGATCGAAGTCTGACTTCATTTTGTCAATAGAACTACATTTTAATTTTTATGTATTCCTTCTATTGCAGAAGCCAAACGATCGAAGCAAGGAAATCCCTCCACGCGGCCAATGTTCAGTCCAGGTCCGACACGACCTCCATTCAGAATACCGGAATTTAAATGGTCATACATACATCAACGGTTGCTATCGGACGTGCTATTTTCTTTGGAAACAGACATTCAAGTATGGAGAAGGTATGATATGCGATACTATATATATTGATGATATATCTATGGGCTTATTTTGTTATTTGTATTTTACAATAATATTTTCATTGCAGTCACTCAACGAAATCTGTGTTGGATTTCGTAAACAGCAGCGAGAATGCTATTTTTGTGGTGAATACTGTCCATCTAATTTCGCAATTAGCCGACAATCTCATAATAGCTTGCGGCGGTTTATTGCCCTTATTAGCATCGGCCACTTCACCAAATGTACGTAAACTAACATACGCGATAAAAAAAAAATAATAATGACATTTTACGATCCTAATTTCTATAATCAATGTATGGACATTTTCCAGAATGAATTGGATGTAATCGAGCCAACTCAGGGGATGCCAATTGAAGTGGCAGTTTCTTTTTTGCAAAGACTAGTCAACATGGCCGACGTACTTATATTCGCTAGCTCGTTAAACTTTGGGGAATTGGAGGCTGAGAAAAATATGTCAAGCGGTGGCATATTGCGACAATGTTTACGACTGGTTTGTATTACGGTGTTTAAGGTATTTTATTTAGGATTCAGAACGAAATGATGAATTTTGTTAGAATAGTTAGATATAGTTATAATTTGATTGTTATATACTTTTTATATGGATAAACAATTTTAAAAAATCATTTGTCGTTTTAAGAAAAAATATTAAATATTAGTGCATATAACTATGTGTTTAAGTTATGCACTTGATAGAATATAGAATTTTTAACATATAAAATTCGGTTTAGAAAAACATTCGTAAGAATTATTAATAAAAAGTATTTTTTTTGTTTCACACAATATTGTGTTAGGTGTGCAATCAATTTTTGAAAAGAAATATGATTCCCATATAGAAATATTTAAATAATACTTAATATAATACGCGAATGAAAAAGTATAATTGCAGTAGTAGTTTTTTACATCTTTATTTATGTTTATTTTAGTGAAAATATGTGTGCATGCACACTATATCAAACTATTTAATACAATCAAAACACTTTGAAATTACAAAATTGACATATAACATTTATGCATATTTACGCATTGATTTTTTTATTGAATTATAAAACTTTATTTTACTTTTTTAGTATAAATTATAATATAGAATTTTATAATTATAATTTTTCAGAGAGTAGAGATTCGTAATTTAAAAAAAAATTGTGAATATTTTCTTTATTGAAACAAAAATTAATGAATAAGCATAAAATAAAGCTATATGACATATTTATAGTTTCCAAAAATTGATATACAATTGTGTTAAATATTTTTAGCCTCAACATATCCCAACGTTAGAAATTTAATATGTACACTCACACAACATCTTTTTGTTATATTTACCTAATAAACTGCTTCTATAGGTCTGTACATGTGCCGTTAGAAACTGCTTAGAGTGTAAAGAACGTGGCAGATCGTACAGCATGTTAGGTCGGCAGATTGGTTCTAGTAATAAATCACAGCACATACAATCGCTTATACGCGGAGCTCAGACATCGCCTAAGGTATGTTTTATCCGATCGAATTCACTTTGATAATCACAGCATTAACAGACGCAAATAAATACATTATGTCTTTTTTTACCAATTTTTACTTTTTGAAGAAAATTTGTTTTGTTTGTAGAGTTTTATAGTATATCCAAATAATTATTTATTTATAGAATATCGTGGACAATCTTACGCATCAGTTGAGTCCTGTGAAGGATCCCGAGAAATTACTGCAAGACATGGACGTAAATCGTTTGAGAGCTGTCATATACAGAGATGTTGTAAGTATCCGATATTTCGATAATAGTGATAAGATAAAACGAATGTATGTAAGATGGAAAGATTAAGTCGCATATTTTAATTTCAGGAAGAAACCAAGCAGGCACAGTTTCTGTCCCTTGCTATAGTTTACTTCATCTCTGTATTAATGGTCTCGAAATATCGCGATATATTGGAACCACCAATATCGCAGCGTCCACCAAGTCCAGTGCAAACGATACAAACAAATGGTGCCGGTCTCAGGCCAGGTAGTCCTTCAGGTAAGATTCTTGTGTGTTCTTATCGACACACATTGCTGACACTAATTTAAAAAATAATCTGTGTAAATACTGATACACAAGATTCATTAAAATTAAATTTATTTTGAATAAATGCAACGAGAACGAATATTAAATTAGAAATAATTATCTTATAAACTACATATACAACTATACATATACAATAACTTAATAAAGTTGTTACTTTTATTATAGTTTCTACTAAATTGTCTATTACTGGGTATGCACTCTGCAAAGAACTTATAAATTATAGAAAAAGATATAAAGAATAATACAATAACATGCTATTTTATATCAATAACATATTTTTATACTCTTCTATAATACAAAATTTTTTTAAAATTTATCAACTATATAATATTTATAATTGTGCTTATTAGATCACCGTCTGTTACTAAATTAAGAAGTTGTAAAAAAAGCATTAAAATTTTTATATTATTTTAATTTGCACGTTAAATATTTATTTGCGTAACACATCCCTAAAAGAATTAAAAATTTTTAATAATTCTTCTGTTTACTCAAAACTCTTACGTGTCAGATATATATTCTCTTACCTTTCATTTTAAAAATTATATCAAATATGAATTAGAGGTTATCAATTAATTATATTAATTCATAATTAATTTCCAATATTACAGCATGACTGTAGCTATATAAATGTACAAAAAAGATAATTACAATATATGTTAATTACAATTTATGTCAAAAAGACATTTTATCTGTCTAAAATTATAATTAATATTACACTATTAGAGAAATTATTACATAATTTTTAATAAGCTGATGAATTTAATTTGTTAAAGAATTCGTTGTCATAATAATGTTATAAATGAATGAAATATGATGAATGTTATAAATAGCATATATGTACAGATATATAGCTAATGTATTCAACACTGTGCACCAAACGATGTAGCTGCAACTAAGACAACAGCACATGACACTAGTAGAACGCATGTGTTATTGCACTGTATGAAGTAAACATTTTATATGTATCTGACAGTGAGAGTTTTGATGTTTGCCGAATGTGTTTGCACTTTTTTACGTTACAAACATACTTACGTCGTTATATCATTGTTGTATTCTCTTGAATGTGGAATTTCTTTATGTGGGGAATTCAAGGAAAACAGATATCTCTCTGTGATAACTGTCACACGATTTATATTTGGATGTTCAATAAATTGTGGGAAATAAGTTCTTTTAGAATGTTATACTCTAGTTGTTATTATAATAATATATTATACACACTGATGCAAAAGTTCTAATTATTGTAAACAATATACTATTATTTTTATCTATCTTCTTGGTTAAAATTTACATTGTTGTTAGAAATTAGAAACAAAAATTATTGAACATTGTAAAAATTTTACCATTATAAAATGATACATTTCAAATGATTTTTTTTCAAATGATAAAATTTTGTTTACTGAATTTCACTCTACAAATATTAAACAATTGAACATTATTTTTTGAAATATGCTTTCCTTAATCTTTAAATACACAGAAAGTAATTTTCATAATATCTATTTATATATTTTTACTTTGTAATTTTTCAGTATTTATATTATTTTTTGATGAAAAAGTACCATTCTAAAAAATTAAAAAATTTAAAATTATATATTTATAATCATATCTTTATTATTCTTGAACTTTTTAAGATAAAAAATTTTGAACTTTTTAAGATAAAAAATTTTGAATGTGCTACATTGCATATATATGATCAATTTTTGTGCAAGAATGCTGACAATTTGCAATGGTATAATTTCGTTAATAAGTGCTTCAAATTTGGCAAATGTTAATTATACTGCTCGTTCGTTGATTTTACTTAATCGAATGCATAGAGTGAAAGACAGTATCAAGAATACGCTATGAATCGCGAGTGATAGATCTGATAACGCACGACCGGATAACGTGGTAAATGTGGTTCCTCGGCAGATGGGAATGGTGGTGGAGGAGGGCGGCCCTTATTTCCACAGTGGTCTCACCACGTGTACCCACAGTTCCTCCCGGGATCTCACCCTAACGCCAATGCAAATGTCAATGCCAATGCCAATCATCACATCAACCAGCACCATCACCAGCACCCGCTACCGGCTGCCAGGCACTCTAATCGCCAGCCACCCTCTAACTACTATCTCCCGAATCACCATAACAATCACTACAACCATCATCCAAATAACCATAACTATCATCGTCATCATCACTATCATCATCATAATAACAACAACCACCACCATACGCTTCAAAAGCATATCGATCAGCCCCGAAATCTCTGTCATAGAAACTCCGGTGTCGGTCTGCAAGGTAACTCGAAAACCCGAAAGTTGTTTCACGGAATGCCCGAGTTCTCTTGGCCTGATTTATTGCGCATTACTTTTGTTGGTTCCCTAATTTGCGAACTGCACGACGCTTGTCAATATGAACGAGTTTATGCGCAATTTCCTTAATGTTTTCTTGATGTTGTACAAACGTTGCCGTTTCTTCCTGAATCACAAAATTTTTTTTTATAATTATGTTAAGAAAAGATATATAATTTTTAGAAATTATTAGCTAAAAATTCAAGGAAAAAGTTTATTTAATTAGCTTATTTATCTTCTTTTTATCTATCTCGAGATCATTTACGTATATTAAATATCTAATTTTAATTACTCTAATTTTTGTTTACTTTTATACCTTTAATAAAAATCGAACATTTGAATTATACTGTTTTTCTAATAATTTAGTTCATTTTAGTAGAAAGTTTGTGCTGCACGCTCTATATAAAACAGTTACCTTGAACTTGCAACATATTGTTAAATATAAATTTTATAATTGTCCTATTCTACAGCATGTAGAATATGTATTTCTGTTAAATATATGAATAAATTATAATCAAGATACGCATGAGTATGGAGAAGATTTCGAAATTTAAAAATTAATAATGGATGCGAATAGATAAAATAAATATAGTTCAACAAATAATTTTTTGTTATAATCAGATAAAATATTATAGTTTGTAAATTTTTATTATAGTTTCTTAATTTTTGACCATTTTATTTGATTACATCTTTATTATAATTTATATTTTATGATTACCTGTTATGTGTGTGTTTTACATTATTTTATGAATACAATTAAAAGATAAAGAAACACCAGCTATTTAAAAAGATCAAATTAAATCTTTTTAACATAATATTTAATATTAAATCTACATGTATAAATTTATTGAATGCAATATTAAAAGCTTGTGTTTCTTACAGTTAAAAGTAATCAAAAAATTGAAATATCTATTGTGTGCTACGATTTATTTTGCAGCAAATTTGGCAGCTCATTGTATGATACAAACAATGAAGAATGTTTTGTGTCATCATTTTTAATATATCTGGATACATACTATTGGTCTTATATATTTTTCACATTGACAAATTGTGAATTACAAGACAATATTAATGATCGTTTTACACATCACGTACAAAAGAATTTTTTCAGTTAATTAAAATCATTGACCGCATGTGTATGGATATGGATATCAGCTTTGCAAGAAGAAAATCTTTAAATTTCTCGATTTCTAATATCATTTTAATAATGTTCTCAGGTAGCGGAGGTATAATGAGTCAGTCGGGCTCTCAGGATGATGGCGAGTACGAAGTTATCATAGTCGACGAGAATAATTCTTCGATTTTGGCTGATCACGACGTCACATCATCAGGTCCGCCGTCGACTAAGGTAAGTCAGTCTCGCGAAAGAATTGCAATAATCTGAAATTTCGATACGATCTGAAAAGTGCAACGGACACTTGTGCTCTACCGAACAAATTCGAAAGAAGTGAACATCGAGAATAATTGAAAATCTCAGGTAAAAGTCTTGTAAATTCCGTCACGTATGAAACGCAAACTGATAGTGACAGTATAGTATATCTGATTGGTACAAAAATGAGATAATTCTACAAAGTTATAACAATTTTATATACTTGAGACTGCATGCATTTTGATAGATCGAGAACGTAGAGAGATTCGATGTTTCCATCTGTCGCTTTACACAGCTCTACGTAGCGAGTACGATTTGCGGGTCTTTCTAAAGAAAATTAAAAACTTTATTTTTTTAATATTATTCTGAATACTTTTCTCTTTATGCTCGATAGTTCTGAAATAATATTCACAGCAGTGAGATTTTAGCACTTTTCCATCACGCACAATCTTAAGGGATATTCACCGCAACAAATAACCAGATATTTTGCACAATGCTTTGCACTAATTTATTATTAATTAAATCATGTGTATTGTTCGTCATATGATGGCGACCTATAAGTTTTTACTTTGAAATACTGAATATATACTTTATAATTTTTTACGATAGACCAGGTAAAGATAGCTACATTAGAATAACATGTGATTAAGATTTAACAAGGTAAACTTCATCTTTGGATATTAATATGAAATTAGCACAATTTTGTGATTATGATAGATTTTTATTATCTATTAAATTATACGACCCTTAAGTGTAGTAGCCGTTAGTTAATCCTCTTGATGCAATTACGTGATTACAAAACCCGCTGTAGTTGAAGATCTCTTGTAATGCCCAGCATGTAATGTTCACTTATCGATTGATGTATTGCATTTATATAGTCCCAGCGTAAAGACCGTTATCTCAGTTGTGATCTCTTGTGATTATCTCTCGCACATAATATCTATTTCTTATTACGGACTCTGAGATTCGGCATTACCAAGGGAATTCCGATCAATTTCGCGAAGTTCCGACATGTGATCACACACTTTCGAAAGTCAAATCTAATATTTATCTGTAACCCTATCGAGCATGCAATACTCTGACTCTCGAATTTCTCTCATTGTTAACTTCCTCTGCTTGCATTGCTATGCGTACTAACTACTGGTTCTGAAGGGAGGTCACAGTGGTGTACCTCGGCCGCGGACTATTCTCGAGGATTACACCTCATCAGAACCAACGCTTGGCACTTCTACAAGGTCCGAACCACTGCCACGAAATCTGCAGGTAAAACTTAACTTGAGTACACATCCGGATATGTGGAGGACATTGACGGGAGCTCGATTCCCGAATTATGTCGTCGCGATCGGTCGCGTTTTGGGAGTGATCCAAAAATATATTTTTAATTATTTTAAATTTCTTATTCCGTAAAAGAATGCGAGAAGATACGCAACAGTGCAGTAATGCCCATTTGACGGGTGCAAGAAAGAGAGAGCAATATCTATTATATAATTTACACGTATTTTTTTTTCGATGCTTATGTAATGTTGTTACAATATAAAATAGCGCTCCTTACACGCGTGTAATTATTTGGTCTTATTCTAGAATTAACAAGTTCGCTCTCGAAGCTTGAATAAATGAGAAGCTTGGTTCTTTCTTTCTATAATATATTAGTTGATTGCGTAGTAATGGTGTACTACTAATTGCATGTAATAAAGTAAGTAAGACATGGCACGCGAAAGTATATCATGAAGTATGATTGTATGAAATTATTCTATGAAATAAAATATAGTTAGTTTTTTTATTAGCAAATTGACTTCAGTATCGTAGTGAGATTCCTAGACTTGGAAGCATATCTGAATAGTTTTACATAATAATTAACGAATGTTAAAAGGAATTTCTTGTTAATCCAATAAAATTCAGCACCGCGGTAAAATAAAAAAGATTTAAACGTCATAATTTACATGCCGATTAAAAAAAAAAATTTATTTCGATGTAAATATATTTCACATATCTTTAAATCAGTACTTTCTATTTAAGATGGTTAAGGTGGTATCATATATTTGATTACTTAAGATGATCAATATTTTCTCAATATTTTTTTTACAATTTATGATCGACTTTAATTTAAAATAAATATAAAAATTCCGACGTTTCACTCTTTCCTTTATTTCAATCAATTTTCTCCCAGAGCAACGACTCCAGTGAGGAAACAGTACACCGCAGCAATATCACCGCGGATCCGAGTCCTTCTGAAGTTACCACCGACAACGAAAACAAACATAATTCGTCCGAAGAAGCCTGGACAGACGTAAATCTTAATGAAGATGGCGATACAATGCCTACCACAAATCCAAGAGAAGACCCGCGAAACATCCACAATATCGCACACTCGCGCGGTAAGAATCGAATCAATCCCGATGCTATCATTTGTATCATTGATAGTCAAAATTTATTAGAAGCATTTATATGAATTTAATGTATAAAGCAAGATACATTTTGAAACATACAGGTGACATGCAAGATAGCGAGGGTAACGTTTTGGAACAAGAAATGCTCGGTAATGCAGAACGCGGAGAGAAACCGTCGGCGGAAATCTCCGTGGTGCGGGTTCCGGATCGGTTAGTAGTGACCGCAGCATCCCCAAGAGCCGACGAATTGCCGATCAAAGGTCTGGTCGATCATTTACCTGTACCAACACCTTCCCGCGAGGCCTCTCTCACGCAAAAGTTGGAAATGGCCTTGGGTTCGGTTTGCCCTCTCCTTCGGGAGATCATGGTGGACTTTGCTCCCTTCCTATCCAAAACACTCGTTGGCTCTCATGGTCAAGAATTGTTAATGGAAGGAAAAGGTACGAGCTGTAAGGGTACGTCGAACGTACAATCATATTTCTGTATTCGGTGTGTGCACGGTTACGGTGTGAATCCGTTAAGGAAACATTTATCCCGTGCAAAATAAGAAAAATTCTGTCTTGAATATCATTCGATGATTTTAGAATAGCCTCTATATAAATTGCACTATAAACACAGTGTGGCGTTATTATGTATGCGCTTATAAAATGATATGTAAAAGGAAATCATGGCTCTCACATTCTGCATTTTACGCGCGCGCGATATGATATAGAATGTCTGATGTTCGATAAATAAAAGGATATATTTCACGTTGGATTTTATTACGCAGAGAACAGTTGTAACATGTCTATGTTTTCTAAGCGGTGTCGAAATATATCACGCCCACGGATAAAAGAATCATAAAGATTAAGAAACTAAAACTCAGCTAGTTTCATGTAGATACAACATTTTCCGACATGATAAATAAGATTTTTATCTACTTTGTATATATTTGATATCTTTTTATTGTAGTAATATATATATATATATATATATATATATTGTAAACTCTTGACATTACACTGTACTCTTGTACTTTTCTTTCTACTTTTTATTTTTTCATTGATTACTTCATAATATAAGAGGTAATAATTCTATTACCTCTTATTTTTTAAAAGTTGTGCATTATTGCTTCAAATTTGTTATTCAACTTGTTAATTGCATATCTAACGAATGAAATATTTGTCACTTAATATAAAAGAGTTTTTGTGATCAACTTGTGATTAAGTGTGCTTTAAAAGATAAAATAGAGATCATAAAAACAAGAATTCAACAATGTTATTCGACTAAAATATTTAAAATCGTATATTCAGATATGCTCGCGTGATAAATAAAAAATTTCGAATCCATTTAAATGGGAATATTTGATGGGACTTTCGTCACTTTTATGGTCTCTGGTATTTCACACCGAGTATTCAAATTAGTCACTTTATGATTTCGCTTTAGGAAGATGGCCAGCGTATTCCGAGTAATCGTTCACCATTAAGTATTCAGCATGCGTGTAGAAACCGTGATGATTCTCGCAGATTTTATATTCAAGGAACGTGGCGCTTGATGGTCCTGCAACCTATCGATGTATTTTATTTTTAACAATACCTGAACGGTCTTCGTAAAGCACAATATTGTTCGTTTTTTCTGTTTGTCACTTTGTCAGTCATTGTTATTCACCGTTTATCGTTTATCCGTTTAACGATTCCCCGTCTGTAATTTGCCCAGGTTTGACCACATTCAAGAACAGCAACTCCGTTGTGGAATTGGTTATGCTCCTATGCTCCCAGGAATGGCAAAACTCCTTGCAAAAGCACGCAGGTCTCGCTTTCATCGAGCTCATTAACGAAGGAAGGTAAGACGTTTATTACACGGCTAGAACGCGCGCAAACAAAACGAAGTCAAACAGTTCTCGTTTCCCTTCATGAAAATGCTTCTTTGCATTACACACAGGCTGTTATCTCACGCGATGAAGGATCACATAGTAAGAGTCGCAAACGAGGCAGAGTTCATTTTAAACAGGATGAGAGCGGATGACGTGCTGAAGCATGCTGACTTTGAGGTATTGCGTGCATTTCTTCCGGCGATTTCATTGCCCTGTAAATAGATCCGACTAGTTTTTGTTGTCGGAAAATTTCCACGAGTCATCTAATACTAATACGATGATCTTCCTACTTAAATACATTATAATTCGATAATACTAATTATAAGAAGATACGTTAACTCTTTTTTTCTGTTATTCAGTCACAATGCGCGCAAACGTTGTTGGATCGCCGGGAAGAAGAACGCATGTGCGACCACCTGATCACCGCGGCACGAAGACGCGACAATGTTATCGCTAGCAGACTGCTGGAGAAAGTTCGAAATATCTTGTCCAACAAACACGGCGCATGGGGATACATGGATCCAATGGCTGCAAAGTAAGTGCAAACGCAACCGACTCGTTTTAAACGATCATCATTATCATATTATAAAATAGACTATTCTACATTTCAGCTACAAAAGCGAGAAAAGGGATTTGGTTTACAATTTTTTTACTTAAACCACTCTCATCTATCAGACCTTCCACATTCATACATACATACTGCCTTGCCTATATTATTTATATAATTTACACAAAATATATACATAGACCTACTTGTACCTAATTATTTACTGATTATACTATTTATACACATCATCATCATCATCATCATCATATTTTATCATCATTACATATCACATTTTGCATTATCTTATTTACAGATTAGCCGAATACTGGAAACTGGATGCTTGGGAGGATGATGCACGCAGACGTAAGCGTTTCGTGCACAATCCACTAGGCTCGAGCCACCCCGAGGCTACACTCAAGGCGGCTCTAGAACACGGTGCACCCGAGGATGCGATACTTCAAGCGCGTGAAGAGTTTCACGCGCATCTCGCAGCCTCGCGTGCACACCAACAGCAATTGCAGTCGGCGGATCTTATGGATGACAGTGAATTGCTGTCGGACGACAGGGATCTCGACAACGACCTGACAGGTTGGTCGGCGTCCCGTTGCCTGATAAACGAGACACGACATTTTAATGGCATATTACAGGCCATACAAACCGGTTTTATTTTCGTTCAATTCCGTTGCCGCAATTTCGTTGAATTCGTTATTTAAATATCGGTCGTCAATTGTTATTTGTTATTTTAATTTCTGCGTTTAATTTCCAATTTCTATGCGCCGTATATTGCAAAAATAGGATGCTACCGATAATTTGCAATATGTATGAGTCTCTGAGAAAGACACGAGAAAGAGTCATTCAGGTTTTTATATTTAAATAAAAAGAACTGCATGTGCACGCAATATGCCATTATTATTTTATTCCATTGCTGTTTACGTGCACCAGTCTAATTGATCATATTTTATCAGGTCCGGTGAACATTAGCACGAAAGGCAAATTAATCGCACCCGGTATCGTGGCGCCTGGCATCATTTCCGTTACATCTACAGAGCTATACTTCGAGGTGGACGAGGACGATCCAGAGTTCAAGAAAATCGACAGTGAGGTAAGTAAAATTGAAGTAAAATTGAAGTATGTGTGGAAGGACATATGATAAAAAGGCGCATTACTAATTATGCGTCTTTGTCACAATGTATGTTATTTATATAATCATCGATAATTAGTTGCTTTATCTTGTCTTTTCTTCATTAAGGTAGAATATATGCATTTGGGACATTCACGATGTTATCTGTTTGAAATGTAGTAGCTGGTTGTCTCGACGATAAAACTATTTTTTTAATGAAAAACCAGAGTTGTCGAGAAAGAAACTAAAGTTAGGTTTATACATTAGCCTTTTGCAAAGTTAAAAAGACTTAAAAGAACCTACGTTTAAAGTTACTACAAGGCCCTTGTACAAGCACTGATACAATCAAAATTGTATATAAATAAATTCTATAACGCGCTTATTTACATTATTTTGCAATTACATTACTATTTTTTATCGTTTCGTGCAATTTTCTTCTATCGCGATGCATCTTTATCAGCGTGTGCATTAACACTGCGGTTATAACTTAAAAATGTGTGCGGTAATAGCAACGCCCATTATTTACATATTAAATGTTTGGAGTAATATTTTATGCTGCCCTCTCTTAAACTGACGAACGCGAGAGCCTAAGGTAGCCGCTCATAACGAAGAGTATCAATCATTTCGGCCGTCGTAGAATTTGAATAAGTGTGCGTCGTAAATGATGAGACGTGGCGAAAGCTTCCATAGCACCGCCACATGGAGGCAGATTCTGGTTAGAATTAGTTCGAACAGTGTCCCTGTCTATCAGTATCCATAAGGCACTCTACATTCGTTAAACTTATATAATTAAAAAGAAAAAAAGAACGGAGGGAAAGTCGAGATAAATCCGAGAGAAGAAGTTGTGAGAAAGCAAGAGAAAGAAAGAGAATGGGGGGGGGGAGAAAGGCGAACTGGAAGAACTAGAAGGACGATTCTCATATATCGGTCGTAGATCTCGCGTTTGTATAACTAGGGAATAAAACAAACAGAGAAGGGCCCCCATGGGGTCGGCCGATCTTCAGGGTCGGCAATTATGAGCCCCCCGCGGGGCACGGTATCTGCCTGCCCGCTCTTCCGTCTCTCTTCCTCTCGATCTTCCATCACTTCTCCACGTACTAACCACATATCGGTGGCATAGGTGAACGAGCAGCTTCTCGCAGGAATGCAAGGAAACTACTGCATTTTCCCATCTAGCCGATGAACATCGGCGCAGTAAAGTCGCGTGTCCAACTTGCGACGTGCCGCGCAAGTAAAATTCGTGGAATCTGCCTCTTGACGGCACGTATCAATAATAGAAATACAATAATTATGCTCGACAAACCCGATTTTATAAACAATAATTAGCAATCTCGGATTACCGCAGAATTTTTCATAGTCTACATAATGAATTCATATTACAATCTTACGAATCGCATTGAAAGGATCCAGCCTTTTTGAACGCTTGCCGTCTTATTCCTCGTTAGCTAATAAATAAAATATATTCAGTATCCTCCGTGCGAGTTTCAGTAATCACTCGGCGACGATCGTATCGCCGTGTTTCTCGGGAGTATGCCCAAGGATTTCGCAGTGTCCACCTGTCGTCTCCGTTATATCTCGACCGACGGACTTGCCCGTGAATAGGACGTACGAACTCATTCGGGCTCTCTTAATTGGAATCCTTTTCAAGAAGGAACGCTGAGCGCACCTGGAAGCGAGGAGGGAAAGAGCGCGAGAGGGATAGAGTGAGACAGGCAGATGGATAGAAGCGGAGAAAAAGAAGGAAGCAGAAAGCGAAGGAAGAAGATAGCGAGGGGAAAGGAAGAGCGAGGGAGAGAGAAAGACCGGTCGTTCACGATCGAGACACGCTCATTAGTCGAGGATGTCCCGAAGGTAGGCGGGAGGCTTCGTCGAATTCGTAGGCGATGGATCACTCGATAGTCGAGCCGAGACTTAAGCGATCGTAATGCGCGGCCGCAGAAGAGGATGCACCCAGGAGTGGCCCCCAGGGAGGGACTGCATATCGGCCCGCGCGCCGCTAAACCCTTTGTGCGTATCTCCTCGCGGGCCTCCTCCACGCCGATCGCGCCGATTTCTCCCTTCTCTCTCTCCTCCGCCTTTTATAATGGCCCAGGCAAACGTATTTATCGTGATTTATCGTTTACACGGGTCTCTCTTTTCTCTCCCGTCCCACCGTTTCCTTTCTCTTTCTCTCGCTCTCCTTCTCTCTCTCTCTCTCTCTCTCTCTCTCTCTCTCTCTCTCTCTCTCTCTCTCTCTCTCTCTCTCTTCCTCCCTTTCTTTCTCTTTCTTTTTCTCTCTTTCTGTGTCTGTCCTGCAACATACGTCGTATGTTAAAGATAGAGGATGCGCACCGTGCGATTACGTCGAGAATGAATTATTGATAGTCCGCACGAGGCATTAATATCTAAAACAAATAATCAACGGCATGACCGCTCTCGCGAATACTTTTCGTCTCTAATGCAATGAAGGAACTGTCGTGTTCTTCTTTTGCTGTTTAGATGCCGAAGTGCAAAGTCCTGCGGCCATCCGTGAATTAACAGTTATTTATATTGCGTATCATATATAAGATTTATGTCACATAATTGCTCGTGATGGTATGTAATAACGACGCACTGTCGTCAAGTTGCATACGCTGAAAATTGAGTCCGCCACTTGCGTTATTCATAGAGACAGCAAAACGTGAGGTAAGGTCGTAAAATAATAATCGATTTCCACCGTTTCTTATTAGCACTTATCGCATGATAGCTCGGAAGCTATAGCGCATATTTTATTTATAAATAAAGATAACACATCTAACAAGTATGATTACGATAGAAAGTTGTCGACATCGATTTTAAAATATAAATATGTATATTATTGAATACACTGATATTCTATGTAATAATTCTCAAAGGATTAATTAATTATATTTTACACTTTTACATTTTCTTGTATATTTCGAGTTTGTAAGAAGAAAAAGCAGATCGGTTTTAAACTAAACGGACCAGCTTCGAGAGGGTAGGTCACACGGGAACATTAAACTCGCAGCGGATCGAGCGGCTCGCATTTTTATGGAAACCTGCTCTGTGGCGCCTAAAGTCCCCCTTTCCGTGGTATAGTTATCGCAGACACATGCTGCGAATATCCTCGTGGGATGTCTATATGAGAAAGAGAGAGTAAGGAAATGGGGAAGAGAGAGAGAGAGAGAGAGAGAGAGAGAGAGAGAGAGAGAGAGGAGGAGGAGAGAGAGGAGAGGGGGGGGAGGAGAGAGAAAGGAGCAAAAGATACCAACCGGACAGGTGGTCCGTGCCATACGTTGGTGCTTATTCGCAAAGAAGATACCATTAACGAGGAATATAGCACCGCGAAAAATTCGAGACATCAGGCCGTTTATCAGCGATCGCAAATAGAAACTTCCTCGTAGATCATGCGGTGCCAGAGATTTTCAGGTTCGTAGTTAGAGGTATCGATCGTGACTCGCTTCACACTCGGATTATTAATATCGCCATATTATTCACACGTAATATGCATTGCGCGTACGATTGTGCAGTCGGTGCTGCAACTCCTTCTACGAGGCAACGACATAAAAGGACTTTCTATCGGGAACATACTTATATAAAGGATTAAACGGGAATGGCAGGAGGGCGGACTGTGACCGAGCACCGGTTTAATTTTATGCGATTACGGTCTTCTTAGGCGATGCATATGCATGACATCGATGTAATATAGTGCAAGTGACGTTATAATAATGCAACTGTAATTATTCGTGCTCTGATCGCGGCATCTTATGCTCGCGATACAAAGACTGTTCACCTCGCTTTAAACATCAGGCCATCGGATGCGCGACCGTATCTTGTATTGCAATTATTATTCTGCCGCATTATCCTTGCATCTCTCGCGACGATAAACGCATGTCAATAAATAACAAAGTCTATCAATTACTTTTGCAACGGATTATCGTGCAATCGATGGCTTCTTCGATGAAGCGACTCGCTTTTCCTCTCCCAGATGCGATGCGTCTCGTTCTCTGAGTTATGTATCGCGAATTTCGAAATAATAACTCTCGTCGAGTCTGATGAATAAGCTTATAACTCTCGATCGGATCTAATGCCTTTTGCTCGCGTATATATCACTAGTGTTATTATTAATAAAAATGCCATAGTCGAGAAGCAATAATTACTCTTCCAACAGTTTCATTGCGCGCCAAAGGCACGGGGGGGGGGATCAAGGTGCGCGATCGCGTATCGATGCGAGTTTGCATATCCCGCATAATTTAATCGATCCACGATTTCGATGGGATTCGATATTGCCGATGACCAGGTAGCCGATAACCAGGGGGCAGTCTGCGCGAAAAGGATGCAGTTAGTTTGGTAAACATCCATCAATTCGTGGGCAGGGCAGAGAGCGCGACGCAGAGAGCGAGGCAGAACCTGAAGAGCAGGCAAGCTGGAAGGAGCGGGCGGGTTCATTCCCAACAAGGCAGGGGTAATCACTGCTATTAGTGCGGACATTACTCCGGTGGTCCGCCAATCTCCGTAACACTCCATCATATCGGTGCCCCTAAGGCTCTTCAGTGGTGTAGAAAATGGATTTTCCTGCAGTCTTCAAATACGCAACGTTTTGCACCCGCGTAAAAGGCTCCTAATTGGAAGAAAATAATTTTACGATTTGAAAAATAATCTTCCGCTGCTTCAATTCGATTGCTATTGGCAATTGGCACGTACCTGAGCCTTGATCGTAATTTTTAATTCATCGTATCGTAATTATTTAGTTGATTCTACTTTCTTTTAAATCTGCATTATACATACATTGGAACTATGCATATATCTTTAAATCAGCCACGCGCGAACTGCGGAAGTCGAAACATGTCATCCTAATCTATAAGTGCCAAGGACAAACCATTCGAAATCTCTTTTACTATAGTAAACGATCTTCCTCGGCGGTGTCGATCTTCCTTCGGCGGTCGTTATAGGCGTGACGACCGATTATCCTCGAAAGGAATGATGATGGATATCATAGGCAA